CCATGTTCAAATAGTCAGAGTGATTTCATCTTTAATTGGCTTTTCATTTAAAGGATGAACATTGCATGGATGGGAAATGATTTCAGGGCTGTCTTATGTAAATTACCTGCACAGAATAACTGTTCACGAGGTTACTAGGAGAAAACCATCCCTGCCAGAGTCCTTGTGACACTGGATGAAAATTTCCCGCATCATTAGCATCCAGTGGGAGAGGAGGTTGGATAGGCTAATAGAAAATGTTATTTAATTGCTATTATCTAATTCTGCTCCTGCTGAGGTTAGCAGTAGCACCTCCTTTAATCTTCAAGGAGCATCAATTCCACTCTGATTGGATTCACAATGTATGCGCCTGTGCATTTTACTCAAAGGTAAATCTCACAAATTTCAAGGTGGTTTACTGTCAGATAAATGTGCCTAGGGTTGCAGTCATACACTGCTAATTTGCTTGCGTTTGTGTTGCCATGCACATACACACAAAGTCAAAGGGTAATTTCAGGCCATTTCTGTTTTGGTAATCTACCTGACGACATCCTGCATCTGAAAGACAACGGTGGAGTAGTGATCTGTACAGATATCTTTTCTATGAAAGGCATCCAGGACCAGATCATGCGAGAAAGCCTATAGGAACATAATAAGCTGTCTTCCGCTGAATCAGACCATTGGTCCATTTGGTCAGTATTGTCTACTTTGACTGAAACTCCAGGGTTTCATGACCAGGGGTCCTTCCCAGCTGTACCTGCAGATTCTGGGAACTGAACCTGGGACCTTGTCTGCACTCCTACACTGTGCAACCACCCTACCTTCTTCGAATACGGACATAATGTTCATTTGTATTTACATAGCCACAAACAAAGAGGATAGGATGATGGATGAAAAATATCAGCGCCATAGTCAGCTACACATACTTCTGTTGGCATCCATCTGTCTCAATGGAATATGTCTGCAGGAGTGACTAGGTGCAAGCCTGGGTAGTGTGTATGGAGGTCCTGGGCTGCCCACACAGCGAGACCACCCTCTCGGCCATGAAGACAAAACAAGAGCAACATCTGTTTGGGCAAGCCAGTGCTAGAGTGTGTCCAGGTGTCCTGTATGGATAATCACTGATGCAGCAGGTGTCTCACTTACCCCCAGGTAGATTTTAGTCACTCAAGATCTATGTGGGCATAAATAATGAAGTTTATGGAAAAATAAATGGCCCAGTTGTTACTCAATCTAAAATACATATATGTGGGCATTTTGGGGGAGTTCTTTTGGGGCCTTGTGGAGAGGGATGTTGTTTATTCAAATCGATTGCTTTGTCAGAGCTTACTAGTAGGTCATACCATTATTAAACCATTAATTGGTTTGGGAATTATATCAGATTGCTTGAAGTTGCTTTAAATCTCATCATATGTCAGTTGCTTAGAGTTGCTTTATTTTCAAACAGTCCATCTTATGTGCTTTGTTTTCTATAAGCTTTTCTAATGCCATCCCATAATGTCATAAAGCTTCGTAAAATAACAAGCCGAGGGATTCCTTCCAGTCACAATCTTCAGCCTGTGGCTTTTGCTGGAGAAGCTTTATTTACTGTTCCTCTGGGTTGCTGTTGAGCAAATTTGAAGCTTGATTGGGGAACCCAACGAGTGCTGGAGCAACGGCCAAGATTTGGCATGATACACCCTGGCATTCAATGGACCCCAAAATTAACACATTGAGCAGAAAGGATGTAAATAAATACACCTATTTTGGAAACTCCCAATCCCACGGAACTAAACCGAGTCTCTTTATTTAAAGATGGCCTCATTTTTAACCTTTGTAATTTCCCAACATATAGCAGAGCAGCTTTGGTTTGCCCCAAAAGTTATGAAGTCTGATTATACAGTGGTGGAAAGACTAAGTAGCCAGTGTGGAAGTGGAGGCCAGGAATGATCACCCAGTCCAAAGGTGCTTAGAAGCACTGTTCCCAGTTCCACTTCCAAACATCTTTTCCAGTACAAGGCATTACAGCTTGCCTTCCCCCTTTCCCAAAGGAGGTTCCAAAAGGGGTTGCCTTCTGCCCTATATAATACAGGATTCTCCTGTGTTTCCATGTAAAATGTACTTTGTCCTGTGTTTCTGCACTCCTCTCTCCAGGGGAGACAACTTGAGTAAAATATGGGGGGGGGGGAGGTAAGCCCCGCCTCTCATAATCAATCAAATGATGGGGCACATCCACACCATTTGAAAGTCAATGCCCATCAACTTGGGGGTGGTGGTGGCCCCCTTAATTTTTTATTGGGGGGCCAAGGGACCGTGGCTTCTAGGAGCTGGCTATGTGCCCCCTCTCACTGCCAAGTTAGGGATCCTCTCCAAAAGTATGTGTGTGAAAGGTCATATATTTAAGCTCTGGGTGGCAAAGCACAGAAAGGTTTACAAATTTTGTGTGTGTGTGTGTGTGTGTGTGTGTGTGAATTTCCAGAGGCTGAAATACATTGTAATGGATTGCTTTGAAGTCATTTCAACACCAGATGGGGGGGGGGGCATAGCTGTCAACTGTCCCTTATTTGGCGGGAAAGTCCCTTATCCCAGCGCCGTGTTCCGCTGCTGTCCCTTGTTGATGATGTCCCTTAAATTTCCCGGGTTTCAAAGGAAGCAGCTCCTCTCTCTCCCTCCCTGCCGGCCAGGGAGGAGGGAGGCTCCAACTGTGTTGCTTGGCTGCATTGCTCACCCAATAAGGAGTCTAAGAACAACTGGGGGGTGGAGCTTGCATGCCTTGTGCTGATCAAATCGGCCGCGTTGCCTGGGGACTCGCCTTTGCTCAGCGCTTCCCAGCGGAGAGGGGACGGTGGTTTTCCTTGCTGCATCGCCTTTGCCGGGTTGCTGCGCTGTGGGAACCACCGCTTGAGGCTTCTGGCCTGGGCTTTGGCTGCTGGCTGGGCTTTCTGCCTTTGGCTCAGAGGGGCTCAGAAGTCGAACATACCTGTGCTCTGAAAATCCCTTATTTTGGCTGCTGATCCCTTATTTTCGAGGCTGCTGGTCCCTTATTTTCAAATCTGTAAGTTGACCGCGATGGGTGGGGGGGATTCACCCACCCTGCCCTGCCCTGTATTTTGCCAGAACAAAGGTGGCAACCCTGCCCTATAGTTGCTGTTGGATCAGATCACTCCCCAGTCCTTTCTCTCACTTGCTTTTATGTGCAGGCCAGGCTTTGGCCCTCGTCTCTCGCCTTACTTGGTTTCGTTTTGTGTTATTTGGGGTTTGAGAACCCAATGCCTGAACACAGAACGTTTCTCCCATTTCTCCAGCTCTCCCAACTGCTGTGTTCACTGCAAACTAAACACCGGTTTCACAGCACTTCAGATCAGCTCAAACATGGCTCATTTAAGTTAAGCTAATTCATCAACCCCCTTCTGCCTCTGGAATGCTCTTCAAACCAGTTGTGGCATAAATCTTGGTGGAATGTGCACATCTTCCCCTTCAGCACATGGTTTGTGCTCATGGTTTTACATACATGACCTTGCTTCCAATCCTCTTTGCACCTGAAAAAGTTTCTGGGTTGACATGGTGCTTGGCTTGTAGTTGGTGCATAGCCCACAATTCCTCCTGAAATCCTGCAACTTTTTATAACCCTACTGTTCAGGGGTGGGTGTGTTGTGCCTCTTGTCTGCCATAGGGCAAGAGAGCAACTCCAGCTGGCAATAATGCAGTCACATTAGATAATAATGCATCACAGAGCAAGAATAAAGTGGATTGATGTGTGGGCGGTGCAGTATAAATCGATCACATGTTGCAAAACATGCCCACAAAAAGCATCAGTCTAGAGGGGCCCTGACTCAACCAGGCATCTGGAAGCAAAGCATTTCTTTTGTGGGAACAGCTCTTGTTTGGGGATGAAACAAGTGGCACCTGCCAAAAACTGCTGCCCCGTATCCCTCTGTAAGGATGAACAACTTTCCCCAAAGCATTCTCCATGTTAACACAGAATGGATCCGAGCTGTTCCGTCCCCAAACTGGGGGAGAGATAATTTTCCTTGTTCTTCCTCTTGCTTCGGACATAGGTAAAGAAACTTGTAAAGATTATTTTAACCTCCCTTGCAAGCCTGAGCTCGATCTGAGCTTCACCCTGAGAAGAGCGCTGCGTCACGATGTGGCAGCAGTCCTTGCAGCTTTGCAAAGTGGAACAAGATTACTGCCTCCACTAATCATGTTCCTGCTGCTATCCACTTGGGAATTAAGGGGAAAGTGGGGCATTTGGAGGGGGGTATTGATGGGTGTGGGTGTGTGCAGGTGAGAGCCAGCCATCTCAAACTCAAATTTTATTCCAGGCCAGGGAGAACTTGGGGCATTTGTTTTGTCTGCCCCTCTTTGGAAGTGGACTTCAGTAAGACTCCCAACATCCATTCTCAGATCCAAGCCTGGAGATGTCCACTGGCAGCCCTGTCCTGGAACCTGCACCACAAGGGGGGCTGTTTCCATACTCTGTATGCCATACTCTCTGTATCAGAGAGTGGGGAAATCTGCTGGACCTGGCACCAATGTCCATTTGCATGGGAACATTGTTACGATATGAATGCAACGCAGCTGCAAACCAGCTGGATGTTTACATCACATGATGTGGCTAGCTGTGGGAAAGAAACTTCCCGGAAGTTCACAGGCTGGAAAAGTCTTTGTGAAGTGTGTAATATGAGACCTTCCTCTTGCATATGTGAAGGAAGTCTTAGTCACTTGCTTGCTGAACACTGAACTTTTCGGACATGTTTTCTGTAGTGCTGCAAAGTCAGAAATAAACAAGATGTAAAGGACTTTCTGACTATCTCCTTTATCTTGCCGGTATGCAAGGAGGGAGGGGGTGTGCATTTTCCACGCTGGGAAATGTCGCCCATTAAGATCTACCCTGGACTTGCGGGGATGCCAGCCAGGGAGGTCACCGGTAAACAAGCCGGGAGCCTGGGAGAGTTGCCAGCTTCTCCCGAAAAGGCTTGTTTTCCAACAAACATCTTATTCGGCATGTGGCAAAAAGCAAAGATTCACTTCCATACCCCGTCTGCCACACAGAGCAATGTGCAGAAGAGTACGAGGGCTTGATAAATTCTCGTACATCTCAGTTGCACTCTGAAGCTATAAATGAACCTGAACCTTCGTAACAGAAAATATTCACACTTTAATGTATAAATAAAAGGAAAGAATCCCAAGGTACCTTGCTTATGTTACACTTTTCAAATTGCACATACACACATCTGTTAACTATGTCCTTTCAGAGATGATTTTACACATCTAGTCGGTTTAATGCATGGCCAGTTAGAGGCAGCAGTGTGTGTGTGTGTGTGTGTGTGTGTGTGTGTGTGTTTGTGTGCACGCACATGGGTGTGTGTGAAACAGAGAGAACGAGAACACATGCACACAATGCACACATGTGCACACATGTGCACACACACACACACACACATGCGGAGCACAAGATCCACCCAGGGATTTCACAAATCTTTCTGATATCAGATGATGCTGTCTTCCATCAGAATTCTTCGAAAGACGGGTTCATGTCTTACTGCAGTTCCGTGATCTAATAAAAAAAAACACAAGATGAATTGCATACTCAAGTAAATGTACATGCATTTTTATGTTATGTAAAAGAGACAAAACATGAAAACCAAAACAGAAAAAATATAGTCCAATAACTGCATTCAAATTAGGTTCAAAAACTCAAACTGAAAAGAGTCCTCTTGATGGTTGTAAGCCTCTGGAGAATCTGAAATCTTCCTCTTCCCTGAGGGTGACACGAGGTGCCCCTTGCTTGATATGACAGATGAGAGAACAAGGCTGACTCACTCTGTGCATGGAATTGTTAGACCACGCTGCAGGTTTCCAAGAAGAGAATTATTTCCCAGCTCTGTGCTGTAGATACTTTCTAACCTAGAGATGCTGTGGGTTTGAATGTGGGAACTCAAGCAAACAAAAGATGCGTTCTACCACCAGAGTAAGTGGGAGGCAACTCCATTTAGTGCTTTTTTCCCTAAAAAAATGTTTAGGGGTACTCTCATTTTGACTCAATAAAATCGCCATTTTATAGTTCAAATCAGGGAAAATAAATACAGCAAATGGACAAAAGTACAAAGATTCACAAAATGTTTAGGGGTGTGCGTACCCCTGCATCTCCCCAGGAAAAAAGCACTGGCTACAACCATCTTTCTTTCTACTTTGGCACATCCAGACTAGCAGTCATCACGCTTCATTTTAGTTCCCCCTCCTGCTGGTGCAATGGCACCGATTTGCCATTAAAAAGAACGAAAGGCTCCAGTGATAAGAGACTGAGCAAAACCGTGATTGGGAAGTGGAAGAGTGAGAGATTTCTGTCCAGACCACACTCAGAAACACAAGACACAATGCTGAAAGATCACCAGGTTGCAGCATGGATTGTATTTAGGTTAATAGGAATTTGGATTTTCTCCTGAAGTTGAGATTTAATGTTTGGGATTTAAAAAAAGAAAAAATCAGTCTCGGATAGTGAAAAACCCATTACAAAACTCTATTCATTTAGCAGTTAGATGCAACACACTTGGAGTCTTGCAACAGGAGCTGCTTTTTTGACAGATGCAAGCTGGGAGCATGGAGCCACACCAATGTACCAACGGCACAACGTCTGTAACTGGTGCAGGGGAATAAAGCAACTGAAACAATTTACCAAGCACCTGACCAGGCAGCCACTTGTAAGCAGGAGTAAAAGCTTTGCTCTTTTTTGCTGTCACCGTGGCTGGCTTTGTGACAGCTTTACAAAATGAAGAGAAAGGAGACGTGCCTAACTGTGAAGGTTTTATGTCCATGTTTCTCTAACAGCAGCCCTGCCACAATTTCAAGAACAGAACGGAATGAAATAATAAACACTGAGAGCTGAAAGGTAAGAGACGCAAAAGGCTCAAGAGTTATATGTTGGCTAAAAGGCACAGGAAGCAGCTGAGGGAATGAAGAGAAAAGACCAGTGATTTGCTGTCTTCAATTTCAGGAATAGGCTCAATTAAAGTACAATGAAAGCCCTGGAACCAGTACTCAGGCAGTGAATAACAAAGCAACAGAGTATATGTTCATTTGAAATAACAGTAATAATACTGAGTATTGGTTGCTGTCATGAATGGAGGAATGCTTACACCACCATTAAACGCAGCCATATTTCCATTCAGCTCTCAGTCCTTTCAGCTCTACTGCCCCTTGGTGGTCATTTTAGTCGCCAGTGGAGGAACATGTACCGTATTTTTTGCTCTATAAGACTCACTTTTTCCCTCCCAAAAAGTAAGGGGAAATGTGTGTGCGTCTTATGGAGCGAATACAGGCTGCGCAGCTATCCCAGAAGCCACAGTGATCCCTCTTGCTGTTCTGCAAGCCTGCACAGTGATCCCTCTTGCTGTTCTGGCTTCTGAGATTCAGAATATTATTTTTTATTATCTCTTGTTTTCCTCCTCCAAAAACTAGGTGCATCTTACAGTCTGGTGCGTCTTATAGAGCGAAAAATACGGTAGTCCATCAGAGGTCTGAACATACAAATTCCTGATCATAAGATAGGTTTCTCGTAGTTGCTTTTAAAATAAACTACTGCGGAGGGAAGCCAACATGGTGCCCTGCAGATGACATTAGACTCCAGCTTCCATCAGCCCCAATGAGCGTGGCCAACAACAAGATACTCTTAAGGCCAGACGTGCTCTATGTGGGGCTGCCATTGAGTCTGGTCCAGGAAGCTCCAGCTAGTGCAAAATGCTGCGGCTAGACTGGTGATGGGAACAAACTACCACAAAAACATGGCACCTGTTAAGTTGTGGGGGAACATATCAGACGACACAGCGATTGTTCAAACAGCTCTTGTTTATTCACAGGCCAGAACAGAACTGAACTGAAGGGTTCAGCCAGCCTGCTTATATAGAGCTCACTAGAACGCAACAGTAACCATTTTCAGTAACTATCCAATCACTGAATGTCACTTTCAACCCCTTATTTGCATATGTGGACCTGAGTGAAAACTATCTACGGTATCCCCCTGCTGCCCCAGGGTGAGAACTTCAGGACATAACAGCACCTGTGTTAAGAGGCCTGCACTGGTTTCCTGTCTGCTACAAGGCCAGCTTTGAGGTTCTTGTACTAGTTTAGAAAGCACTGAAGAATTTAGGCCCAGGATACTTTAAGGACTGCCTTACCCCGCATGCCCCACGTAATCACTGAGACCATTGGAGGGGAGTACTATTAGTAGTTCCCTTTGGGCCAGAAGCATGGATCATGACAATACGGAGTAATGGCTTAGGCGTTGTGGGCCCAACTCTATGGAACTCTCCCCTACCCCACAAGAAGTTTGATAGGCATCGTTCCTACTGAGTTTTAGATGCCTCATCAAAACTGTTTTATTTCAGGAGGCCCCTGAATCTTGAATGCTTCTCAGGTGCTCTTTAAAAAAAAGAAAAAAATCTCTAGGTTTAATTGACGCTTGACCAGAAACCAGGAAGACCAAAACTTGAAGACGGAATGGGGGAAATTTATAAGTTACCTTGGAGACCATTGTAAACAGTTAAAATCATTAGTGGGATTGGAATAACACTTGTAATGTAACGAGAACTATGGATACAATGGAAATATAAAGATTTGGATTATTATAAAAAGATGCAGAAGAAAAGGTTTAACAATAGGACCCATGGAGGGGGAGCTGGGAAGTCCAAAGGTTCGTCGGAATCTTGGTTTCCTTTTGGAATGTGTTGTAGTATGATTGTAAACTTTATTATGTAAAACCAAATAAATAAATTTGTGGAAAGATAATAATTTATGCTTGAAGTTTTGCATATTGTGCATTTTATTGATGTAAGAAATTTTGAGTTCTACATGCTGAAAAGCAGGATATAGATGTTTCAAACCAACCAACAAAACAAAACAAAACAAAACAAAACAAAACAAAACAAAACAAAACAAAACAAAACAACAAACAAAGATGATGAAGAAGAACTAGAGGGTGCCATATTGGTTACCCCGGCACAGGGGTCAATTTTTATCCGGATTACACCATGCTAGGAGGGGAGTATTAACCCTTCCCTCCCCATCCATGATCTTGACAGTGGGAACGAACAGGAGCTTCCACCCCCTAAGTCTCATAACCCAATGCAGGGGGTATTTATCAGGATCATGGCTTTGGGTGGATGGATTAAACATACCCTTCCTGAATGCTGACATAAAATCTGATCCAGTTCTCACTGTCACTTTTAGCATCATGCTTGGCTTGATTCTTATACTGCCAAACCTGGAAAGTGCTTTGGTCTGTATGTGTCTTTGGCTTGTATTTCCGTCTAGTGTTTCTACCCTTGTAGATGCAAGTTCTTCTCACTCAGCTGGCCATCTGCTACAGCAAATTGATTTGTACAACCAATGGCTGGGATTTCCCCCTGGCAGTGGGTGGCGCACACCAGCATTTGCTGCCTACAGTGGCGACGGCATGGGTCCCTGCCCCTCCCTTCCCAATACTCTTTTGCAAAGTGCATGTAAAATATGGTGCACCTCCCACTGGCAGACACTGCTTCCCCACTCTCCACCCCACGCTGCACTCAGATCGTCTGTGGGTTAACAATATGGTAGGCAATTCACCAAAGCCGAGTTGTGATGTTGCCACTGCTGCTGCACACCGCAGCAGCAAAATAAAGTGTTAACATCTCCCACCTCACCCACCAAACGAAGATGTTCCTATGCTATTTCTATTCAGTGTAAGCCAACCCCCCTCTCTCTACAGATGATGACATTCATTGTGCAGCTCCCTTACTTATGAATCTGTTAAGTTGTGGGTGGACATATCAGACGACACAGTGATTCTTCAAACAGGTCTTGTTTATTCACAGGCCAGAACAGAACTGAACTGAAGCCAGTCTGCTTATATAGAGCTCCACTAGAACGCAACCGTAACCACTTTCTGTAACTATCCAATCACTGAACATCACTTTCAATCCCTTATTTGCATATGTGGACCTGAGTGAAAACTATCTACAGTATCCCCCTGCTGGCCCAGGGTGAGAACTTCAGTACATAACAGAATCCAAATTCACTTCCGCCTGCCCTCACCACCCCACACCCCATTGCTCACTCCAGCCCTGGTATGATTATTTTGGACCACAAAGAAGACACTGTTGGGCAGGCCCACAACATGTGAATCAAAGTGCCATTCATTTTTGGCATAAACCTCGTTTCCTTTTCAAATTGATTCTGGGGACAAGTCCCCAGAATATGAGTTTCTGCTGTATTCATCTCCAACAGAGATAAAGTGTGGATGTTTCAATATGCTGCTTTCTGCTGACCCTGAATCAGTGGGCTCTTCATCTCCTTATTCCAGACCTCCCTTGTTGTCCAAAATGTTGGTTAATGTTATTCTACTAACATGAGTTTGACCAAACTGCGAGAGGCAGTGGAAGACAGGAGTGCCTGGCGTGCTCTGGTCCAGGGGGTCACGAAGAGTTGGGCACAACTAAACAACAACAACAAATTATTCTGTGATGGGAATGTTGTTGGGCTGGGCACCTCAAAGTTACTTCAAAGGCTAACAGGAGACTTGGACACTCTACAGTGGGCTGTGGTCTAAACCTCTGAGCCTCTTGGGTTTCCCGATTGAAAGGTTGGCAGTTTGAATCCCCATGACGGGGTAAGATCCCATTGCTCTGTCACAGCTCCTGCCAACCTAGCAGTTCGAAAGCACGCCAGTGCAAGTAGATAAATAGGTACCACTGCGGCGGGAAGGTAAACAGCGTTTCCATGCACTCTGTCTTCCGTCACGGTGTTTTGTTGCACCAGAAGCGGTTTAGTCAACCTGGCCACATGACCCAGAAAGCTGTCTATGGACAAACACTGGCTCCCTCGGCCTGACAGTGAGATGAGTGCCGCAACCCCATAGTCGCCTTTGACTGGACTTAACTGTCCTGGGGTCCTTTACCTTTTTACAGTGGACATAGATTGTTGTTGTTGTTAACATTTCTTAGTTGCTTTCTACAAAAATGTCTCAAAGCTACTTAACAATATAAAATACATCGCCCGACTGTGAGTCGTGAAGGCTGCCCCCTGCAAGGCCCTTTCCGCCTGGCCTAGGGGGCAGGGCCCACACTCACCAGCCCCACTGAAGAGACGCCTGCTGAGACCAGAGCGACAAACCCAAACTATTGGATTCTTTTGCCCCATCTTTTTGTGCCTGCCAAACAGCAGCGTCATGCTTATGATAATATTTTATTCTCTTGATAATTAGGCTGTTTTATAAATGTGCATTTTACATTTGACTTCACTTGGGATTTTTTTTTTTTTAAATGTTCAAGAACTTTTTTGGTTAACTTTGTTTATGTTAAATATGTATGCTGTAGTTGACCTCCTTTGTAATGCTTTATTTTGAAATCTTTAAGATACTATTTTAGTTTTCTGTTCATTACGTTGCTTTGACTGTGTACTCTACATTTGACTTTCTTCAGATTGCATTATTGATGTTTTAATATGCTGTAAACCGCTTTGAGATTTTTAAAAAATATATAAAGCGGTATAGAAATGAAATAAAAAAAAATAGATAAAAATTCAGTTAAAAATTAGACCCCACCCACTTTATTGCTAGATCTGAGGGCATGTGAAGTGAAAGGCTATGGAGCCTTCAGATCCGTGCCTTTTCTGGTCCTGAGCAGCTTATACATTAAATGACACATGCCCTTTTCAACCCTACCGGTAGGGTCTTGGCTGTGGAGGTGCGCTGTGACGGTGAAGAAGGACCACCTGCCATCAGATCTCCCTCTCTGAGGTTGGCGCTCTCTCTTGCCTAGAGAAGGAGATCCAACATGCCTATGGCCCTGGGATGCCCCACCAGATACGAAAGGATTGCACGATCAGTGAAACCTAATGGAGGTGGGAAATTCTCCAAATCACATCTTGTGAAGTCTCTCTTCATTATGTACTGGATTGTTCCTAAGGATGTCACCTCAGGGGCCGCGGTTTTTAAAGCTTTTTTAAGCACATGGTTCCAGTCATCGGGACAGCGCAGGCAAATGACATTCCAAAGAATGACATTAACCAGAAACTGAATTTAGTTTGTGCTTATAAAAAAATGTTCATGGTGATTCATGGTATAATGATAGAGGGGGAAATTCCCAAGGACTGGAGTTAAAAGGAGCAGGTTGACTAGACAATATCTGAGAGCCCACTGTATTCAGGGAAAGGCTAAATGAATATCTATGGGTAAGATGTGTACGTCATACAAGTACCTTGAGTTCCATGTTGTGGAGTGTACCCAGAAGTATTCTCAAAATTGACCGATGGGGTGAGTGGCATATACACATTGATTTTCAGATCTAGAAAGGTATAGTGCAAGAGGAAGACAGGAACATGTAAAGATAACTGATGAATAAATGGTGATTTAAAAAAACTGTAAAAAAACTGTCTATCATTAATGCATTTTTAAAAAAAAAATCTGTACAAAAAGCAATCTTAGATCAGGTTTTTATTTTAAGACAATCTCCACAACTAATGATTACCTGGCAACTTCACCACCGACTATATCGAGTGTGTTTCAGCGAATCCATCGGGCTCTGTTAGCTCCCTGCTATCCAAACCACCAATCTTAAAACACTATTGAGCCAATTACGAACATGGGTCAATTGCCAATGACGAAAATGGAAAAAATCAAACGATTTTCTCATTTTGCTGCAATGTTCATGACTCCTACCTCTCACAGGTCAAATTGTCTTATCAACATAGAACCAACTAGAGTTGCAATTATAAAAATGCCTTAATTCCTAAATCTGAAGACTGTGTGGCTGCTATATCCACATCATCTGAGATATCCATTTAGACTAGACAGTTTTGTTCTGCCCAAGTGAATGTCTAGATGGACCTGTAACTCCCAAATAATTCTGGTTCTCCCCTAAGCAAATAAAGGCTGTTGTTGATGCCCTGGAATCTCATTTATACCCCAGATGGGCAGGGTATGTATGTATGTATGTATGTATGTGTGTATGTATGTATAAATAAATAAATAAATAAATAAATGGATGTTATTATGTACAAATCAAACTTTTAATATAGGAAACTAATGATAAATACTTGATTAAAAAATACAACCTATCTTTTTTAAAAACAACAACAGTAACAACAACAACAACAACTCATATTTAGGCCTATGACCACCCTATTTTAGCTGCTTGATGGTTGTTCCTCAAATCTTTCAGAATCATCGAAACCTCACTCGCTAAGGTGTGACAAGAAGGTCTACATGCTTAGATACAGATATTGTGCAGAAGGAATATTCTGCTGATGTCTCATAGGACATTCAGCAAGGAAGACGGCCCTTTGGGGAAAGACATATCTGGACTTCAAAGGTTTGGCTTGCATATGGACTTCAAAGAAGATTTGAACTCAAGCAAACCATATACCCAATTTAATGAACGACTTCTGTTGCCTCAAGGCTAGGCCCAATGTTCTGAAAATTATGTGACAAGCCTTTTGTGTGATCTCAACAGGCAGAAAAATAAATTGTTCCAGTGTTATTATTTTTAAAATGTTTCTTCTATTCACGACAGTACACACACACAAACACACACACTCTCCACCATTCTCTGTTGACATTCTGAGATTCATTTGGCCTTCATGCAATTCTTCTTCTCTTTCATTTGCCAAGAAGAGAAGGTGAGAGAGGAGAAGGTGAGAGAGGAGAAGGTGAGAATGTAAATGTTTCAAATACGATCATTCTACACAGTTGCTAAGAGAAAAAGAAGTGAGAACAGGGGTTGCCGGGGGTGAGATGAGCTCCCATGCGCAGACTGTTATGGGATGGAGTGGCGAGGAAAAACAAGGTGAAATGAGTGTGAAGGGAGTTTGCCACACTAGCTTCTCATAATGAGTATGTTGTCTGAAACAAATGCACTGTCACATACTCATAGCTATTGCCTTTAAAAAAATCATATCAGAAAACACATCCCAAAAAGTGCATTTTTCCCCTTTTTTAGATTTGGAAGATGATTCTACAATATCAAAGTTGCACAGCTTACATATTCAGGTAGGTAGCTGTGTTGGTCTGATGCAGTCGAAATAAATTTAAAAATAAAATAAATTGTCCAGTAGCACATTAGAGACCAACTAAGTTTGTTCTGGAACCCGGGTGGCGCTGTGGGCTAAACCACAGAGCCTAGAACTTGCCGATCAGAAGGTCGGCGGTTCAAATCCCCGCGACGGGGTGAGCTCCCGTTGCTCGGTCCCTGCTCCTGCCAACCTAGCAGTTCGAAAGCACGTCAAAGTGCAAGTAGATAAATAGGTACCGCTCTGGCGGGAAGGTAAACGGCGTTTCCGTGCGCTGCTCTGGTTCGCCAGAAGCGGCTTAGTCCTGCTGGCAACATGACCCGGAAGCTGTACGCCGGCTCCCTCGGCCAATAAAGCAAGATGAGCGTCGCAACCCCAGAGTCGGTCATGACTGGACCTAATGGTCAGGGGTCCCTTTACCTTTGTTCTGGGTATAATCTTTCATGTGCATGCAAACTTAGATGGTCTCTAAGGGACGCGGGTGGCGCTGTAGGTAAAACCTCAGCGCCTAGGACTTGCCGATCATATGGTCGGCGGTTCGAATCCCCGCGGCGGGGTGAGCTCCCGTCGTTCGGTCCCAGCTCCTGCCCACCTAGCAGTTCGAAAGCACCTCTAAGTGCAAGTAGATAAATAGGTACCGCTTTATAGCGGGAAGGTAAACGGTGTTTCCGTGTGCTGCGCTGGTGCTGGCTTGCCAGAGCAGCTTCGTCACGCTGGCCACGTGACCCAGAAGTGTCTTCGGACAGCGCTGGCCCCCGGCCTCTTAAGCGAGATGAGCGCGCAACCCCAGAGTCGGTCACGACTGGCCGGTACGGGCAGGGGTACCTTTAACTTTAAGGTGCTACTGGACAATTTTTTAAGCTTATATATTGTTTGATCAAACCCTTAAGGAGGTAAGCGCTGATATCTGCTGCATCAGAATGAACCCACTCTGTTCTGATTGTTCATGGTTATGAGATGCAATATCCTTTTCACATGTACTACTTGCAAATCAGGTACACACACACACACACACACACACACACGCACAAACACACCCATTCGGTCTCTGTACATTTGTGGGTTTGCGGAGTTTTGTTTTTGCTTATATGCGGGACTTTGCATTCAATACCACTTTCTTAGTTTCATCTCAGTTTCCCATTCTGTCAGGGCCTTTCCTAATTTTATTCCTCTCTTCTGAGGTGTTAAGCTGACCTAGTTTTGTGCCATCCACACAATCAGAATTACCTCTACCACTTCACTGAAGCAACTGATGAAAATCTTAGTTAGTATCAGGTGCAGGAGAGAATTGATGAGCCCTCAGAGTATGGCTTCCCAATCAGCTGTGAACCCACCTATCCCACATATATTCTATCCCACATTCAATTAGTTTGCTAGCCAAAATGTCATATGCTTTCTTGAAGTCAAGATACATTGCACCCAAAGCATTTCCACAACCCACTAAGCTAGAAACCCGATTAAAAAAAAAAGAGGGAGAGGTAAAATTAATCTTGCTGGTTTTATTCTTCACAAATTCATGCTGCCCTACAAACTGATTTTTTTAAATCTAGCTCTAGCCTAGTATTTTCCTCACCATCAAAGTTAAACTCAGTCTGTATTTTGCCAAATTTCATCCCTCTCCCCTTTTGAAGACTGGGGCAATATGTTCCTGCTTCCAGTTTTGTTGGCCGTTTACTTGCTTCCCACAATTAAACATAAGAACAAATAAAGAATTCTGCTGCTTCAGCCAAAAGGCAGATACTACACCAAGGCTGGTGTTCTCCTTATTTCCAAGGATGCCACAACACAAAAGTACCTCCTCTGGTTTAACTGAATTGGAATCTTTGTATTGTAGTCAAACGGCTAAGATTAGCTTTGGAGTCAGTGTTCTGGTTCTGGTCCGTTTTGTATTCTGTTTTGCCCTTCTGCCTCCTTTCCCTTTTCTTTTTGTGTTTAATAAACTTGGACCATTTGACCACTGAAGTTGTGTGTGATTGCCAACCTCAGGTTGAGAATCTCCAGGTTTCTAGATGCTCGGAACTCATACTACTAAACGTTTGCAACTAGAGTTGCTCTTCTGAGAACTGGGAGACACGCAGGGAGTGTGGGCTGCCTTGACACTCTGAATAACTCATGAGCGAACTGTCTGAGAAACACAGGATGCATTGGTCTCAGAGTTCTTTGGTTTTAGGAAGTTTAGACACAGCTGTAGCTACAGGGGCAGGGGCTAGCCAGGTTTTTTTGCCCTGGGTAAAGTCTCCAGAGGAGCACCGTTGATGCTCCCAGCTTGTGTGTGTGTGTGCGCACGCAAATCAATAAAGGGGGTTCCAAACTGGATCTTTGAGCCTGGTGAAATAAGCCTGGTGTGATGGCCTGGGAATCTGATTCAGAGGCTGAACCGGAGGAATCCCAGCCTGCACAGGAGTCCCCGCCTCCAGGGCCAGCTGAGCCAGGGCAGGGGCTTGAACCTGAAGGGCCCCCACCTGTGCTGGAACCTCAGGAGCAGACACCAGCTGAATCCACTCTGGCTCCAGAGGTGATTGAGGACCCATTGCCTGCAGGTGCTCCTCTCCCAGCCCTGTCAGGGGAAGGTGAGGCTGCCTCTGGGTCCGGTCACCCTACAGCCTCTCCTGAGCTGCAGAGGCTCAGGGCAGAGAGGCGGAGGGAACTGGGTTCTCTCAGGAGGAGTGCTCGCCTTAAGGCCAGGAGAGGCGAGTCACCTGTGGACCGGGACCGCCCCTGGCCTCAGAGGAGATAAAGGCCAGTCAGCCCAGTCCCAGGTTGCGGGAGCAACATCGTTGGTAACCTGTTTCTGCCAGCACCCAGACCTGCTCTTCCGCAGTTCCTGACCACTCCCGGCTCCTTGCCTTGGACCCCGCTTCACCCTTGACGGACAGCCTCCATACCCTCAACCCAGGACCGGACTCAGACCACGCCGCACGGTAACCCCCCCCCCCGGGACCAGCACACCTAGTTTCGCCCCTGGTTTAGGGGGGCTCTGCCAGGGAAATGAGCAAGCTGCTTTGATCTTGGACTAGGATAAGGCATCTGGAAGCTAGCCCTGCTTTCCCCAGCAATTTGTGAGTAGGTTGAACGGAGGGGTGCTGGGTGCACTGACCTTTTCAAAAGCAATTGCATGGGTGGATCCCAGATCCCCTTCCATCTGGGCTGCAAGAGAAAGGGGGAGGGTGGCGGCAGCCAGTACCAGAGATTAAGGCCACTGGCGACACCGCATGGTTGTTGGTTTGCAGTTGGGCAAGGAAAGGGGCGTGGGAAAGCTCTTTGGAGTGTCCCCATTTCATCACAACACCCATCATCGTAATGGCCGTGGCACAGAATGTGACTGTCAGTGGCACCTGTCAGCTTTGGACCCTGAATGTTCTGGCTCCACTGCAGTATAGCATCTCAAAAATGGGAACACGAAATACCAGCAAGACTACCGCCCCACACACATACCCACACAGCAATGCCTTGCCTTCTTGTGAACCTTCTGCTTCTCACACCTGAGCAAGCCATGACCTTGAATGGATGATGATGATCATTGATGATGGTGGAAAGTGGTGATCATTGACATCCTAAGCCATTTAATGTTCCTGTTGGAGCCTGGTGATCACCATGGAAAAGCACGTGGAGTGTTTGTTGCCAAGCAAACTGGGAGTTGGAGGCAGATTGGCGGAGAGCTTTTAAATAAGAGATTTGAAGCCTGAGGTTGATGCAAAAGCTGCAGGGAACCAGCAGATATTCTTACAGCCATGTGTCAGAGAGATGAGCTTTTAGAAATGGCGTTTTCAATCTGCTGGAGAAGGGAGATATCTTAGCTCTGCTGTAATAATTTGAGTGCATTGCTTACCATCCTCTCCCCAGGGTATGGAGCAAAGGATCCTTCCTCTTCTTTTTGACATCCTTTTAAATATTTGAAAATGTTCAACCTGTTTCCTCCTTTCCCTAGGCTGAATGATTCCAGCTTTTCTGCCTGGCTTCTAAGCCCTTTTCAGTCATCCTGAATTCCTTTAGGTGAATGCTGTACAAATAAAGGCTTAATTGGACTGGGGTTTTAATTTCTGAATCGTGCAATTATGATACAACCTTGAACGTGGCCTGGCCTTTTGTGGCGCATAACTGCATTGTTGGTGTCTGTTCAGCTTGTTAACAGCTGCGGGTTTCTATAGCTTCTATCACCTAACCAGTTTTATTCCTGACTCTGTTCTGAACCCTATATTCTGCACATCCCAGTCCAGTACTGATCCTTTTATAACCATGCTTTCCAGCTATTACAGTGTTCACTTCTAGTGTATCTTTCTGAAAATTTAGCACGGTGATGCCATAGGCAGGGCCAGCCCAAGACATTTTGGCCCCCAAGGCAAACCACAAAATGGCACACCGCTCCACAAGGGAAGAGGGGGTGAGTGAAGATACACATCAGGAGCAAGGGGGGGGGAATAAAGATCTGTAGATTCTGCTGCCTGAGGCTGTTGCTTCACCTTGCCTCATAGATGGGCCAGCGCTGCCTATAGGTGACTAATGCAAACAGAACTTTGGAGTTCAGTTACAGTTGAGGGGAAGGTAAATTAGATTTGTAAAGATTTTGTTTCTCTGGCTAAAATGCAAACTGGCTTGTAAAGGTTGAAAATGGAAAATAAAATTATATATTTAAAAATATACAGTATATTCCACACCACTCTCCTTGTTTACCAAATCAGTTAATTTTCAGAAAGGAAGTTGGTTATGGCATGATCAGTAGCAGTCAGCATGTCTTTCTAAGTCAATTTTCCTCTAGTCTAAGTCCTCATGTATTTGTTGGCTATTTGCAGTTTAGTTGCGCTGCAAAAAGCTTGCTGGGGAGACCACGCATTACAAGGAACTCAAAAATAACTTTATCAAGGTTTTAATAACAAAAACTCCTTTTACACTAAATATACCAACAAGCATGACCCAACCACCAACCCATCCCCCAGAGGACAGAGAGCTAGGTGCTGCTCTTTATATACTATACCCAATTACTGACACAGCTTAATTAACACAACTTAGCAGCACCTGGTATATTGTTTCACAGCTGTAAAACTGGGTCTCGTTATTTGCTCTGGCCCTCAAAGACATACACATCTTGTGGAACAATAATGAACCTTCACATTTAAAGAGACCATTCAACAGTATTAGCACTTTGTTCTAGTACCTTTTCAACTATAGAAATCAAGTAGCAGGACCACAGCTTTCTGAGTCTTCCTTCTTTCCATTTTGGAACATGTACCTGTGAATCTGAAATAGTATTTTTGTGCAAGGTAACAGGTGGTTCTGAATTGATCCTATCTAATTCTTTCAGGATCCTTTGCTGAATCCAGTTAGGCAGATTTGAATTCAGATTGTCCAAGAATCAGAGTTGGAAGATAATTCTTTCTTGCTTTCATCTGTGACCTTGCCAACCTTGCCAGTAAAGAGTGCTTCGATATGTCTGTTTTTGTGTTGAACTGCAAGCTGGTAAGGTTTTTGGGTTTTTTGCTCCCTTTTGATATAATGGTGTCTTAGAAAGATTTTCAAGCTGCGCAAATTCCCTGTCAGACACCACACACTGAAGGGGAAGTGTGCTTATTGTACAGCTGTAGGTTTTTGTACCATTATACCATATATATTCCAGCAAGTTGTGCTTACAGCTAGCAATCTACTAATGAAAATGCAGCTGCAGAGGGAAATTAACTTCTCTCAGCCAGTAATGTGCGTGAGGGCCTTGAATACATTTCCTTAGGAATGTGGTGCTATCACTCTTCCCAGGGATACTAGATTAAATGGACAAGACTAATTAGTCAAAATGGACTAATTAATCAAAACATTCAAGCAGTATTCTGTCTTCCAATACTGTATATATTACGCTATTGTTTAATTGCATATTTGTTTTTTGATTAGTATGTTTGGAGAGTTCAATACAGTACTAGTTTCATATTTCGGGTCTTGCTTTTTATTTCATTACACAAGATTTATATACTACTTGATTGTAATGAAACCTCAGAGCAGTGTGTGTGTGTGTGTGTGTGTGTGTGTGTGTGTGTGGATATACAATCCCCACCCTCTTCCTCCCTCCTCTAACTGCCCTAGGTGAGAATCATGCATCCATATTGGTAAGGAACAGGGTGTTGCGTACTCTTCCCTCCTCCATATACAAAAGTGTCCAAACCTTTTTGCCCTGGCGTTTGACATTTGAGGTGTATATTTTTAGGATCCACCTTGTTTATGTAATTCTAGGTTGTTATAATACGTTGTTGAAATGCTGTGCTTTAATGTTGTAACATGCCCTGTGAGCTTAGGTAATAGATGTATTGTATTATTATTATTATTATTATTATTATTATTATTATTATGTTTTTTTCTGGGGGGACACAGGGGAACGCATGCCCCTAAACATTTTGTGAATCTAAGTTTGGCCTCATTGAGGGGAAGTATTTCAATATGAGTAGGAAAATGAGAGCACTCCTAAACATTGTTTTAGGGAAAAAAGCACTGATTACTACTACTACTACTACTACCACCACTACTGCAGATATGAAAACTCTTGTATATCTGTATATATCTATGTATACAGATATATACAAATACACCAAGTATATTTGTATCTTTTACTTGGTTCGCTGAGGCAGGAAGGATGGCGTTCACCATCCTTTGGGATATACCCTCCTGTTAAGGCAGGTGGCAGGACCAAATAATAATGGTCTCTATCCTGGGAGGGAGTCCCAGAAGGGCTCAGACAGGTCCTGCCTAGCAACCAGGAGCTTGTCTCTCAGCAGAGCATCTGTACCAGCAAGATGCAGTGGTGAAAAGGCCTCTCTGTGCCTTTTCACATTTG